AAAGAAAGAAAGAAAGAAAAGAAAGAAAGAAAGGTGTATATATCAATAAAAAGATAATTAATGGCTATGTGTAACAGCTCAGACTTTTATATTGTATATTTATTTTTTTGTGCCAGTCCTGGGGCTTGAACTCAAGGGCCTGTGTGCTGTCCCTGAGGGTTATTTTTTGTTTTATTTCCATAAGACTAGTGATCTATCACTTGAGCCACAGCTCCACTTCTGGCTTTTTTGTAGTTAATTGGAGATAAGGGTCTCATGGATTTTCCTGCTCAGGCTGGATTGTACTGCAGTCTTCAGATCTCAGCCTCCTAAGTAGCTAGGATCCATGTGTGAGCCACTGACATCTGGCCATAGATGAATTTTTAAAAATTATGCTGAACAAAAATTTACCAGACCAAAATGAGGAGTATTTTCTTTGTAATAATACTTATTTAAGTTCCTGAATAGGCAACTTACTTATGGTAACAGATATTAAATTGGTAGTTACTTCTAGAAGGAGGGAAAAGTAGTTATTGATTGGGAAAGATTATAAAAGAACCTTCTAAACTTGTATTATGTCTAAACAAGTGTAGGTAATTAGAATTCATTAAGTGATACATTAAATATTTGTGACTTTTATTACAGAGGAAAGGGAGTAAGCCACTAACAGAATGAAAGAAATAGAGTGGTTATATATTTGTATGCACATATATGTATATATACACATGTATACATATGTATATACACATGTATATATACATACACATACATGTATGTTTGAAACAAAGGAGTTATATCCAGAAAAAACAAAAACCCAAAAGAAAAATGACTGCATACCAATCAGAATGGCAAAAACTTAAAAAGGAGAACTGTGTCAATTAGAGGGTAAGACTGTGGAAAGTCTGAAATCTCAATCTCATTCAATGCAGGAAAGAGTACAAATTGGTTTAATCACTTTGAAGTGACTTTAGATAAACTATCAATGTCTACTAAAGTTAAACTGCTATTCTCCACATTAAATATGAAAATGGCATTAAAAATTACTATTACCAGCATAAGTTATTTTTTTATCTTTCTTAGCTCTAGCTTACTCCTGTAATCCTAACTGCTCAGGAGGCTGAGATCTGAGGATTCCGGTTCAAAGCCAGCCTAGAAAACAATCCAAGAGATTCATCTCCAACTAACCACCCAAAGACTAGCAGTGGGCCTGTGCCTCACCTCTCAGTAGAGTGCCAGCCTTGAGTGAAAAAGGTAAGGACAGCACAAGACCCTGAGAGCAGGCAATACCACCAGCACAAAGAAAAAAATAAATGAACTACTTAAAAATGCTATATAATTCTTTCAGATGTGCTGCTGCCCACCAAAGCCCAAAGGATCCTCTTTCTATCAATAATGGGTCTTGACTGATAACATGAAATGAGACACCCTTGTACCTCTGAATACTTCCCTGCCGTAAGTTCTTCTGGGTAAGCTAGAGAAACCCTGACCAAATGCCAACAGTGTCACCTTCTTGCTGAGGTTCATGTTCTCCATCTTCGCCTTCAGCAGCTTCATCTTGTTCATGGTGATTGAATTTTCAATGATCTGTTGCCCTGAAGGAGAAGGCTCAGCTTCTTCATCCTCATCTGTATACAAGTTATACACAGAACCACCACTGCAAAGGAAATAATTGAGCACTTGATTCAAAAATTTTTATGTGTCATCGCAACTATAGATGCTGTTAAGGATAAAACACTACACCCATTCTGTCAATATAAGTGAAATACATTTCAAACATCTATACTTGAGAAAAATTAAATAGGAATAAATATCACATCATGATCTAGTATTACTGGAAATCTAGTACAGCTGAGCTCCTCTGAATCCAGTTCATCCTAGAAATTGGTGTCACTGGAGCACCCATGATGCCACATACTTAGAGAGGCAAACTTCATTTTCACAAGATGTCAGCCAAGATTATCAGCCAAGACTCATAAATGTACAGCCAACATCACTGGGTGATCAGATTTCCACAAACTAGAATGAAAAAGCATGGCACAGAAGAAAAAAAACGGGAGGGGGAAAAGGTGGGTGCTAGTGGCTCATGCCTGTAATCCCAGCTACTCAGGAGGCTGAGATCTGAGGACTGTGGTTCAAAGCCAGCCCAAGCAGGAAACTCCGTGAGACTCTTATCTCCAATTAACCACCAGAAAAACCAGAAGTGGTGCTGTGGCTCAAGCAGTAGAGCACTCACCTTGAGCTGAAGAGCTGAGGGACAGCGCTCAGGTCCAGAGTTCAAGCCCCACGACCGAAAAAAATAAAATAAAAAAATAAAAAAATTGTATATCCTGAAGGGGCTCTAACAAAAAAAACCAAAAACCAAACAAACAACAACAACAAACTCGCTTAGGTATTATCAGAACATCTTCTGTTCTTAACAGAACAAAAACAATGTTCAAAAAAAGGGGTAACAAAAATCTTTAGGTACCTAGGTGCTGGTGGCTCATGCCTCTAATCCTAGCTACTCAGGAGACTGCGATCTGAGGAAGGAAAGTCTGTGAGACCCTTATCTCTAATAAACCACTCAGAAAAAGCTAGAAGTGGTGCTGTGGCTCAAGTGGCACAGTGCTACCCTTGAGCACAAAGACTCAGAGACAGAACTTAGGCCCTGAGTTCAAGCCCTGGGAAAAAGACTTTCTAGGTATGTTTGGGAATGTAATCACCTACATCACAAATCATAGCACTAAAGACCATGACACCCTTCTTATTAAACCGATTTTAATATTTTAATGACTATCTACTCATACTTTAGAGAAATAAATATCTGGGGCCCCCTCTTCCCTGATCACACTTTCCACATTTTACTCCTCACATTCTGTCCCTCACTACCTTCCCACACAAGTAAGTGAGTTGAAAGCACACAGCCAGCTTTCCTCATCATCCTGTTTTTATACTTTGTATATTTCTTGGTGCATATCCAAAAAAGCCTTGATGAACCAAATACAAATATACTGAAGTTTCAGGACATTTTCAATAATGAAAAATTATAATGGTAAGGGTTTGCATATACACATATACAAACACACAACACATTATGAGAATGATTAAAACTTAAAATAGAGCAGAACAAGAATACATGTTCTTTACCAATTCTAACTTTTATTTACGTATATATTTAAATATAATTGAGCTAGGTAGCCAAAGTGTGAGGGTTAACATTTCCTGTTTTATATAATTGTAAAAATTGGGATCGATTTAGGATGGCCTTAACAGGGCATATTCTAATGTTTGTAAAGTACATACTAGCAACATAAAAAAGTAGAGCAAATAGCGGATAGCTCATTTCTAAACATTATCATTTAGTGGTACTAGGTTTTGAATTTAGTACCTTGCACTCACATTTGTTAGTCAGGCTCTACAATTTTAGCCATTCCCCCAGACTCCTAGTCGTACATCTTAAATGGTGAAAGGGCCATCCCTGGCAGCTCACGCTGTAATTCTACCTACTGAGGGGGCTGAAATCTGAGGATCAAGGATCAATGTGTGTAAGTCTCTTATTGCCAATTAACCACCAAAAAGCTAGAAGTGAAGCCAGGTGCCGGTGGTTCATACATTAATCTTAGCTACCTCAGGAGGCTGAGATTTGAGGATTGCAGTTTGAAGCCAGCCCAGGCAGGAAAACCTGAGACTCTTATCTCCAATAAACTATTCAAAAAAGCAGGAGTGGTGCTATGACTCAAGTGGTAGAGTGTTCACCTTGAGCAAAAGAAGCTCAGGGTCAGCACCAAAGCCCCAGGACCATGAAAAGAGAGAGAGAGAGAGAGAGAGAGAGAGAGAAAGCCAGAAGTAGACTTAGGGCTCAAGTAGTAGAGTGTCAGCCTTGAGTGAAAAAGCTGAGGAGGGACAGCACCCAGGCCTGAAAGATGATTCAAGTGCACTCTATTCTTAGTTACTTGGCAATATTTTATCCTTACTTCTCTGTACACTGTTGCATTTTAACCTTACTTTTACTGAATATTCTTAAGATGTTTCTTTTTTGGGAGGGGGGTCCGGTTGTGGGGCCTGAACTATGGGCTTGGGCGCTGTCCCTCAGCTCTTCAGCTCAAGGCTAGTGCTCTACCACTTGAGCCACAGCGCCATTTCAGGCTTTTTTCTTTTTCCTTATGTGGTGCTGAGGAATCGAACCCAGGGCCTCAGGCATGCAAGGCTAGGGCTCTACCACTGAGCCACCTTCCCAGCCCCCTTAAGATGTTTCTGACTCAATATTACTGTCATTAAAAAACCCTATTCTCCCAAGGAAGATGTGTGTTCAAAAGAACAATCATGATAAATATTTTACTGGATGCATTTTATGGTATAAAAATCACTTTTTTAATTCACCTCATTTTTCAAAGAATAACATATTTTCTTGAGACCAGTTAGAACCTCAACATTTTTCTATATGTAAAAAATGTAATTAGAGGGTGGGGAATGTGGCTTAGTGAGAGAGTGTTTGCTAGCATGCATGAAACCCTGGGTTTGATCCCTCAGTTACCACATACGGAGAAAAAGCCAGAAGTGATGCTGTAGCTAGCCTTGAGCAAAAGAAGTTCAGAGACAATACCCAGGCCCTGAGCTCAAGCCCCAGAACTGGCAAAAAAAAAGTAACTAGACTGAGATAACAGTAATTTATAAACTTCATACAAAAATATTTAAGTGTCTTAATTTATAATATAACTTAAGAAAATGAGATGGCCATTTGGCTCAGGTGGCTCACACTTGTAATCCTACCTACTCAGGAGGCTGAGATCTAGGGATCATGGTTCAAAGCCAGCCTGGGTAAGAAAAAAGGAAGTAGAGCTGTGGCTCAAGTGGCAAGAGTGATAGCTATAAACAGAAAAGCTCAGGGACAGTGCCTAGAACCTGAGTTCAAGCCCCTCCCCTCAAAAAGAATAAGAGATGAACAAATGTGATATTTATTTCCACATAAATGTTACTCATCCCACACCTAAGACTTCACTTGATTTTTGCAGACAAATTATCATTTAAGCCTTATCATCTCTCTTCATCTTTCTTAAACAATAATGTAGCATTATTCACTAAAAATGTGGCTGATGCTACATTTTATATAAAATGAATCAAATTCTTCCTGTTTCTTCTTAAATTGGGAATCATGTATATGGGTGGTATCTGGCCTGTTAACAGGAGACATGTGAGTTAAGAATAGTTTTCACTTTTTTTTTGTCATTCATGGGGCTGAACTCTGGGCCTGGGCACTGTTCCTCTTCAGCTCAAGGCAAGTGTTCTACCACTTGTGCCACAGCGCCACTTCTGGTTTTCTGGTGGTTTAT